ATGAGAAATAAAAACATTACTTCATTTATTCTGTTATTGCGCAACCATTAATAACTAATCCATTGATATGTTCTTGCAACAGACAATCGGAAGGTGGGGCTACCGAAAACTTTTAATTTAGCGCTCATCAACCAATAGTGGCGTGGCGACCACCATCTTCATTGAATTAGGTGGAATTAGCGAATAACTAAAATTAGCGACAACCTGTACCTATAATTAGCGTGCAGTTGTTCTTCTGTGTTGGCTGGTTTTTAGTGACCAGTGGTTTTTATGTCAGATATCGATATTTTAGAAATAGCTGAAACTGTTTGCATTTGTGGAATGAATAATTTGAAGGAAATAGTATCAAAAATTATTTTGAGAATGAGCAATATTTTTTAAATATCTGCACGAAAGTAAAAAAGACCAAAATAATAGCCACTGTAACCATTGAAAAATGTCAATCCTTTCTTGAATAAAATAATTTTATTTATTGCTTTTGTTAATTTTTACTTTGTATAATAAACATCATCATTCCAATGATAAAACAATAGCTTACACAGAAGCTGTAACTAAATAACATTGCAGATAGGATATACATTTTAAGTGTTTAACAATTAATAAATCATAGAGTAAATACGTAGAAGAGACGGAAGAAAACTACAATCATGCGCCTACTTATACGTTCAATCATGTTCAATGTACCGTAAAAGGTTTTATATTGTATTACATTCTTGTATTGACACGAAAGCCTCACATAATTATTTACTCCTTTTCCTACACATCAGTGTTATCAGATATAAAACATCTAAATTAATAGATAATTCGCGTGCTTGTTCCAATCCTCCGCGGCGCGAGCGCGAGCGTTCACTGGTGTAGCGTAGCTTAGCCATCCAGCCATCCGATGCGGTGTTGCCACTTCGAACGCCGCGGCCTGTAGTTAAAGGAGGCCGTGATTATAGTGTGACAAAAAATAGCGTTCGTATCACGGACCAAAATAATTTTGCAGCTCTCCGTTTTAAGTTCTCGACTTAGTCTCAAACTTTAATAACTATTTTAAGCCAGCAAAATTACATTTTGGGCCCTAGGTACGAAATATACTATTTCCTACAGTCACCCGGCAAAGTGGGCTTTCTTGCACATATTTTAAAAATTGATGTCAATATCAGTTATCCTCTTTCCTCATAAGATTAGGTTTTTACAAAATAAACTTTTTATAAAACTAAATACAATGTAGGGTTATAAAGTTGAAAAAAAAAATGTCCGTCCACCAATTTGTTGCTGTGTTACAAGGTGGCTCAACTCCTAGTACATACAGAAAGCCTTACTTTGGTGCACAGTTTTTACTTTGGCGCACAATAGTATTCCAACCAAACTAAACAAAACAGCGTGCTTTTATTATGCACGTAATCCGTGTATACTTGAATATAATTTGGCAATACCTGAAGATATTACGACGACGATCAGCTGGTGCAGCATTTCCCATACCGTTCAATGTTTGGATTTAACCTACCCTAAAAACGTGTTGTACAGTGTGTGAAGGACTTATTATTTATATGATTAATCGTACCTGTAGGAAAAATATAATGTGTAACATAATTGCAAACTTCCTTTGCCCCCTAGTTATACAAATAACTATAGTTTTCTAGCTTATTTTGTTAATTAATGATGCAACAGGACAAAAAGTTAGAGAGCGAAAGCCAAACGAATTTCAACAATATAACGCAAATAGTTAAAGACTGTGCGCCAATAAATAAATAACTGTGTGAGTGCAATGAAAAATAAACAGCCTTGGTTGGATTTTGAGTTCATATCTGTGAGGAAGCGGGTGTTTATAGTAGTTTACGCAACAATTGCATGGAGATGGTGTTAACGACACGAGTAGAAAATTTAAGGTTTGAGCCTTAACAGGTTCCTTAAAAACTGCTACGAGTGTCGTTAACACTACTTACGCGAGTTGCGCATACTAATTTACCTACGACAGTGTTTTAATAACTAAAAATTACTAATAGTAATAATAATAGGCTAAATACCTTATTTACGTCTTCAATCCCAGTAGTCTTTTTATGATTACTATAGTTTCGGAGCTAACAGCTCCATTGTCAAATCTTCTTATCTTGTTAAATTACTGTTGATAGCATTGGTCATTGTTGAATTTCACATGTAGACATACACACACACACACAAAACATTTATATATACAAACGACATTGAAATTTAATATTTTGGCCGGCCTAAACAAAAAGTGACTAGCGTTGTGGTTGCACGGACCGGTACACTGACTGACTGATTCATGTTAGCCGATACCCTGGAGACGTTGACCTTGGCCTTGGGGGAGGGGGGAGATCAGCTGTTTGTCACTATTTCTATTGTTCAATGATTCAATGCGATCGAACAGAACGTTGGAGTTGAAAGTTAATTTTTCATTTAACACATCGTTTGGCGATTTTTTGAAAGCTTTATAAATTTTGTAGCTTTCTAGGACGTTCATCACAGGGCCTTTATTGCATTTATGTAAAATTTCTAAACCTCCATTGGAACTTTTTATGGAATGGTTTTCTTTTTGCAGGTGTTCGGCAATCTTAGAACGCTGTGAATGCAATTTAGGTTTAGGGAGATGTTCGTTAAACCTTTTTCTAAAGGAGCGACCTGTTTGTCCTATGTACATACTTGGGCAATCATTGCAGTTTATTTTGTAGACGCCCGTTTCATCCAAGTTGTTATCAGTATTTTTACGCCGATTCGTGTTTAAATGATGTTCTAACTTATTTGAAGTTTTGCATGCCAGGGTGATATTTTGTTTCTTAAGTTCATTTTTAATAGTGAAGTGGAGGACATTGCCGTAACCGATACAATTTCTGACCAGACTTATCAGATTCTTGTTTAACGGTTCTGGATTTCTGATTTCAAAAAATCGCCAAACGATGTGTTAAATGAAAAACTAACTTTCAACTCCAACGTTCTGTTCGATCGCATTGAATCATTGAACAATAGAAATAGTGACAAACAGCTGATCTCCCCCCTCCCCCAAGGCCAAGGTCAACGTCTCCAGGGTATCGGCTAACATGAATCAGTCAGTCAGTGTACCGGTCCGTGCAACCACAACGCTAGTCACTTTTTGTTTAGGCCGGCCAAAATATTAAATTTCAATGTCGTTTGTATATATAAATGTTTCGTGTGTGTGTGTGTGTGTATGTCTACATGTGAAATTCAACAATGACCAATGCTATCAACAGTAATTTAACAAGACAAGAAGATTTGACAATGGAGCTGTTAGCTCCGAAACTATAGTAATCATAAAAAGACTACTAAGATTGAAGACGTAAATAAGGTATTTAGCCTATTATTATTACTATTACTCTTTATCAATCCAGGAGGCAAAACATGGATAAAAATTACTACTCATAACTTCTAAGAGAGGTTATGTTTTCGTTTATATTTTTTAAGTTGATCCTCTTAAAAAGACATTTTTAATTTCACACTTAGAGGCAAAAATGTCACATTTTAAAAGCTGGACATAAGTTTTGTTGTATTAGTTTTTAAGGAATTGAGGTCATCAATTTGTTTATTTAAATTCGAAAAAAATTCTATATTTGGCTCAAAGAATTTCCATCTAAATAACTACTATCACTTTTTAAGTATGATAGTTAAAACCTAAGCTTTAATTCTATCAAACATAATGTGGCTGTATGAGAAGCTCGGAGCCCGAGGCATGTGTTTCCTGTTCAAAATATATTAGTAACCTAAGTAGAATTGGTAACAGTGTAGGCAGCCGTATACAAAACGCAAAATACTTAGGATGTATAGGTATAACTCCTGACAATCATACAGTAGACTCCCTCCTATCCGGACATCTTTTAACCGGACTACACTCGGTAGAAGTGACATCTCTTTATCTGGATAAGTCAAATACTGTATAGAGTATGCATTTAAACGGTCCGTTTAACGAGATTTTGGGGACGTCAGTTTAACCGGAAAAAACGTTATCCAGATTGGCCTCGGTCCCGAGGAGTCCGGATAAGAGGGTGTCTACTGGAGGCCAGATATAAATGAGGGCGCCATATGAAATGCAAACTGATGGTGGCCAATTGACATGCTTTTTGATACCCTATTTACAAGAAAAAAATTAATAATATTTTTTTTTGCTTTCAACGCCAGTGGCATTTCACGAGAGTTACGTGAGATAAATGTTTAGTGGATGTGCCGGGGATTGAACCCGTCCCTCCCGCACCGAAGTCCGAGATGCTAACCACTAGGCTAGCAACACAACCAAATTGTATATTGAATTGTAATATTGAACTACAATTGTATTAGTTGTGTAATTTACAGTTAAAACTATAAAACTTAAACATACCATACTCTTTTGGATCTGGGGGCAGCCACATAACCTAAATTCTGATTGCAGTCAAATAGATAGCGGGATGTATATATATATGAATTTGAACGGAGAGTGTTTTTGGCCTCTGGGGACCTCAAAGAGAAAAATTAAATCGGTCCCGGGTCCAGGTCTTACCATGAGTACTACGGTAATAGCTTACTCCCTATATGGGAAATTCGCTAAAAGAGTCAAATATAGACCGTCAGCTGTGCTGCGGTTACCTTAGGTTCTGGCGCATACCGCTGGGAGCGCCATATAGTTAAGGCGTACACGCTACGTAACTACACGGCACACCCAGTGGTGTGCGCCAGAACCTATGGTAACCATGGTAACCGCAGCACGGCTGACAGTCTATATTTAATTCTTTTGTCTGTCTATGCTAATACTTTCTATTAATAATTAATAATTGAAAATGTCATAAGAGCATGAGTTATTTTATTATCTAAGAAATTTAACTATTAATTAAGATCATCCAATGTCCTAGACCAGTCTTGCACATTAGATGATCTTTTATGTGACAAAGCCATATCGGTAGCTAATTTTTGGAAAAGCGAAGTCTGATTTCCGGACACAAAAAGTAAGTAACTATTAATTTTGAACAGTGCCTAAAACTACAAACATAGTCACAAAAAATTATGCATACCTCTAATAGCTGTAAAGAGAAGTGTGAGTCACAGTCTTGCAGGCATGGAAATGTAGTAAGAGCATCTCCAATCCTCACCTCTACACTCCTAGAAAAAAAAAATAAAGGTGAATAAGGAAAAGCAACAACAAATGCAAAACCACATAACATTCTTAGATACATGTGAGAGTATTAGTATTTAGAACATATAAAACACAACACTTACCAAGAAATGTTTCATCAAAAACTATCCTATATGCAGATTCCAAATCCAGATATCCTATACTGCAGTTACCAAATTTGTATTAGTGTTTTTGTAGCCTAGAATGTAATGGAGTGGAACTTTTAGTAAATCTCACAAGTAAAATACTGTTCAGTCCTTGGTTCTACATGACGCTACAATGGAAGAGAAAATCAACACTTCTACCATGAATTATTAAAAGAAAAATAATGATGAGTATATAATTAAACATCTTTCAAAACACTCATCAAAATATCCTTATATATAATTCAGTAAGACAAAGATTTTACCAGAAAATTCTGGACGTCTGGTAAGTCGCAGAAACGTGGGAGGGGTCTTAAATTAAAGGTCTTGACCCCAGGGACTCGGGGAAAAATAGCAGAATTTATATAAGTTACAAGAAAACGAGATATAATGTAAAATATCCACCATAAAAAAAGCTTGGGGACTGAAAAACGTCTGCATTCTAATCAGCTGTTACTTTTTTATTTGCAATGTTTACATTTATTCCGAAAGTCAATGTTGTTAAAATGTTTAATAATGTTTTAATAATGTTTAAGAATAAAATGTATTTGTTTAATTTTTTTCCGTTTTTTTTTTTTATGAGTGAAGTAACTGGACAGAGCAAGGGAAGACCTGCAAGACGTGGAAGATTATCCAGGACTTTTTGTTGTATTCTGTTTTTATAATGAGTGAAGTAACTAGACAGGGTAGGGTAAGACCTGCAAGACCTGGAAGAGTTTAAAGGAATTCAACTGACACAGGAAATGCTAAAAGAGAATGTCATGTAGGACTATGAAAGAAATCCACAAGCTGGTTTACAACCTGCCTTCAGAAGAACGCATTTTGTGTTTAATGAGTTGAGTGTTGTTTCTCACAATCTAGGTCCTCTTAACAGCACTTGCATGCAATGTGGTGCATTTCACTTCGCAGAGGAGGCCACAAATGGACATGTCAACGCATGTTGCCACAATGGACTCATTAAAATGCCACAACCACAATTGAATGACGAACTAAAGGAATGTTTTTACATGATTCTAACTTCATAAAAACGTAAGGCAATACAACAGTGCAATGGCTTTTGCGTCGCTTTCCGCTACAATTGTGTCTAAATTAGGGGCTATGGCCCCAACAGGCCACTAGTCTAATTTATTTGAGTAACCAACTACTACTTACTTTTGTACGCAAGGCTTGCAGAACAAGTGACCCTCATTGCAAGTAGTACAATCTTCAAACAGAACATTTTGGTAACAGCAACCACACTCAATTAACTCCCCACAAGCTTCCGCCTGGAAAAATATTTGATCAATTTTACTAACAATTAAAAATTTATAATTTATTTTAAAGAGTGAAAATGCTCAGACATTAGACAAATTATACTAAAAACAAATACTGGTTTCGATTTGTTTACTTTTATAGCCTACTCTTACATGATATGCTAGCGGTGGTTTACTTGTTTTACTTAATCTGCTAGCCACAGCTGGGTGCTAGTCACTAGGCCGTGAGTTGAATGTGAGGTGGCGGGGAGACCGTCTTCAGCATTGTCCTACACCCAATTATCTTGGTGTCATACTGGACCGCACACTGACATTTAAGACCCATTGTATTGCGACAAGAGGTAAAGTCTCAGCGAGGAATAATATCATCAGGAAGCTCACATACAGATGCTGGGGTGCTAACCCTAATGTCCTCAGAACCTCAGCTTTAGCGCTCAGTGTGTCGGCTGCGGAGTACGCTGCACCAGTATGGAACGCATCGTCACATGCAAAAAAGGTTGACATTGCAGTCAATGACATGGCTCGTATTGTAACTGGGTGTTTGAAACCAACCCCAGTACACAAACTCTATCCTATCGTAGGGATCGCCCCTCCATCAATCCAACGTGATGTCGCTGCCGACGCAGAAAGGACTAAGCAAGGGACAGACCCTCGTCACCCATTACACGGCCACCAACCTGCAGAGCGACGGCTTCGGTCCAGAAAGAGCTTTTTATCACAGACACGAGTCCTGGATGGATCACTCTCAAGCAATCGGGTGGCAAGGTGGGAGGCCACGTTGACTAACCCTCCCAAACCAGCCAGGGAGGAACTGGCTCCTGGTGGAGGCCTTCATTACATGGTGTGGAAGACCCTAAACCGAATCAGGGTCGAGATACCAAAATGCAAGACAAACATGCAGAAATGGGGTCTCTTACCAGACGAAGAAAACATCTTGTGCGCGTGTGGTGCTGTTCAGGATCCTGGCCATCTGCTGATCTGTCCACGCCTAGACCAGTCTTGCACATTAGATGATCTTTTACAAGCGAATGACAAAGCCATATCGGTAGCTAATTTTTGGAAAAGCGAAGTCTGATTTCCGGACACGGAAAGTAAGTAGCTGGAGTGTCAAACAAGGCTAAAAAAGTTGACTATACTTGAATAGATACAACTTCCGTATCGGCGTGGTGGGGCGATCTGACTTTTGGGTAAGAGGGAGAGCTGCCAGGTTGGCTACCAGACCAATAAGAGCGAGGAGAGCCTGACGCGGTTTCCATAGCAACAGGCGCTGTTGCCATATCGCACCGCATCTCCACCACCGCATCTCCACGCCCGCACGGGCATGTGCAGTTCCTCCTTATGATAGATGACAGCGACTACTTACTTCGAGTAAAACAGTGTACTGTCCGCGACAGTTCAGAAGTCCCCTAAGCTCCAAAACAAACATTTTGATGTTGGAAAAGTATATTCCATATACATATATATATATATATATATAAGGCAAAAAGGTAAATACTTTTTGGTGACCGAGTTATTTAAAAGTGATAGTAATATTTATACATGTTTAAAGATTTAAGACATAGTGACCGCGCAAAAAATATAAAATTACTAAATAAAGTTTATGTCTAAAAAACAAAAACGGTCTTACATAAATTTTAAAATGAAACCAATTCTTCTTATAAAACCAAATCTTTTTAAGATTTTTTCAATTATTTTTCCAAATATACTATGAATTTTAGTGCTTTACACATATTATTTCACGAAATTTTGAGTTTATTCATAACTTTTTTCTTTTAGAAAGGGAAATATATCCTTTGCATGTTTGCCCAACTCAGCTATAGTTTTTACATAGGAAAGCAATGTACAAATCAAAACAGAACTCTGTGGGCGAAGACACCAGACTGCACCGAATCAGATGACACGACCACCCACTCATCAAAACAAAGATGATATGAGTAATGATGTTTACAACAGATATATACAGTATATGCTGAGGACCAGAGGGCAGGAACTCCCAGTACACAGTGTAACGTTGCGTGCGTTCGCGTTTACAAGTACCCTTCGCGCATATTCTGTGATGAAGTTAAAGTGGCAGTTCCCGCTCACTGCAGTGGCCGTCCGTGACAACGCGGCAACACCGCAACAGCAGTCTCCCCACTGCTCGCTACCCCTCCACACCTCTCCGATTCGGAAGTTGTATCTATTCAACTATAGATAAGATCCAGTGTTTATGTGTTTGACCTTAGCCACCACTAAGTTTAGGTTTTAGCCACACTTAGGAGTTTGATAGGTTGAAAACAATCTTGACAGCTGCTGCAACTTGGAAACCGGTAACATGACATGGCATTGGGCAATAAATAACAATGCCGCCTTGAGAACACAATCTAAAAGGAGTAAAATCAAATGGAGTAAAATGTCAAAGAAAGTTAATATTATGAGTACGCTCCTAAGTCACATATGAGAATGGACAAAGACCATTCCATACATACAAACAATTTGTTAACAGTAACCATATTCATATCAGCTGATTAAGCAGGTTGGTTTATGTCAAGGAAACCTTGGTCCAAGGTCATAAGGCAGGTTTGATCAAATCCACAAAATGAACAGGAAAATCTTCCAGTTTCTGTATTGTATAATCAAAGAATGTATGTCAATGTATATTACAAAAACAGCAATTGCTCTAACATGCTGAGTAATAGATGAGTGAATGAAGTGAACGAATCTATGTATCGTGTATAGCGGAGTCGGAGAAAAGTTGTCCGCTTGTGTGTGTTCGCACCAAAAACTCAAGAACTGTCGCACTTAGAGCGTTCAAATTTTGCACACATAATTATGATGCCAGTGGGAAGACCTCATTAAAATTCTAGACGATTCCGTTCAGTAGTAATTATAAAACCCTTAAAAACATTTTTAAATTTGTCCCATAAGAATAACATAAGAGCTACCTTCTTCTTCTTTTTATTTGTTTACGTTTTGCGACCAACAATTTTGTTGTCTACTTTAGACAGAGAGAACGACCTTTACTCTAAGCTCTTTCATTCATGGTGTAAACAGTTTGGCGTCTATGAATATACATCATTATAATTTCACAGCTTTCACAGGATAGTGTTATTTAAGTTAGTTAACGACTTTTGTGGTCGTGGTTGTTCATTTGACTAGCGTAGCTCCAGCTTATGTCAGTTATTATTAGCCTCTGCAACATAATAACAACAGACAACACAACAAAACGTTAATCCTATAATGTATTCTGTTTCTGATTTAAGCTTCCCAAAATAATTGGTTTACACTAATATTTTTTTCAAGTACAATGTATTTTTTCAATTAAGTTACATCTTTCGATCTTTCTTTCGTCGCCAGCTGGCTTGAGAGTGACAATCCGAGTCCATAACAACATTAATTTACTACCAACAGTGGGGTTAATTGGTATGCTAAGAAAAGAAAAGAAGTAAGTGCATTTTGAATGAAACAATAACTTGCAGAATAAAATCACGTAAGTAATACAATTCAATGGCATAGGCTTAAGTACTCAATGCAAATTTTAAACAACTCCGCTTCAACACATCAGTATAACCTACAAATAAGTTAGTGAAGATCCTGTACATAGTTTCCAAGATCTGGTCTGGATAATAATCAAGTCATAATGAGTCTAATTATATATTATTATATTATTATGAGTCCAAAGATAACAACATTATTACCCAGCTTCACAGGTTGTGGATGCTTAACTTAGTAGCCTAAGTTATAAAACATTAATAAATAATAAGAACTTAAAGATGGTGCAAACTGCTTTGCAGAACTAAAGTAATGTTGCTTTTGCTTATGATCCGAAGGAAAAGAAGGCCTTTGCTAAGAGTAGAGACTGAGAGTGTAGGCCTACCCTATCAAGTAGGCCTAGTGTTAATCTTTTTGAAGCCTATTGTTCAGTTTATTGGCCGGCCCTAAAATGTATGACTAGGCCTAGGCGTGTAAGCTAGAAACTTTTTAGGGCAAGCTAGGCCAGTAATGATTCAATGATTTATTAGGCCATTAAGCAAAGCAATAGGCTGTGTCACTAACAATACAAAATAAACAATAAATAGCTTAGTCCATCTTGATTCACAAATAACTTAAATGCAAAATGGCATCTGGGTCTGAAAACACTCTTGCTTGGAATCAAATCAGAAACCTGCAGATTTGAAGGTGAGCACTAAGTTTTAACTACTTGTCTACCTAGACAATATTTAACTTAGACGACACATAATTTTTTAGAACTTGACCCATGGCATTCATGTTTTTAATAAGTGGCGCACATAATTTTGATAAAACGAGTGGCCTCCTTTTAACCGAAAAGTACACCTAAAAACCCCAAATTTGAATAGCCCTAGCCTACCCCCTTATGTTAAAATGAGGGAGTAGTAACTTAAGTTAACTTAGTTCGGTCACAGATGACAACAGTGGCATTTTAGACGAGACTAGATATAAGTACAGTGTGTACTGAAATAACGCTTTTAAGGAAAGCGGTCCAAACGCATAAGTTAAGTTAGGCCTACCGGTATGTGTTATGGATGTGCCAGAAATTGAATTCATTCCTCCCGGACTAGAATCTGTAACCCTAACCAATAGGCTAGCTACACACACAAACATACTGTTAGGCCTATTGTAATTAACTTAACAGGGGCACATGATGGGTGCGTGGGAATATTCTATTTAATGGAAATTGATATCGATTCACAAAGGCCTCAAACAAATTATTCTCAAGTTGACTTATGAATTTTATTGGTTTAGGTTTTTTTTATCAAATGCTTGATAAATAGCCTACTCTGTAAAAGTATTATTGGTTTGGCACTTTCAATAAGTTATATATACAGCTAAACTTACTACAGTCCACTCTTGGTAATTCAAACACTTGATAATTCAAAACTTTCGATAATTCAAAATGAAGGCTCAGTCCCTAGCCAAAACAATATTTCAAATCAATATTATAGTCTCTCAATATTTCAAATTTTTACCATGCATTTTGATACACTCGGTATTTCAAAGTCCAAATAGAGGGC